ATTTATTTTTGAACAAATTATATGTTTAAGACTATTAACTCGACAACATCCTCTAATTTCTTCTTCTAACTTTGTCAGCTCAAAAAATAAACTTCATTAGTAGGCCATTTTCAATACCTATTCGTCCTTTTAAACCAACAATTTTTTTTTAACTATGCCGAATTTTCTCTGAAGAAGATTTTCGCTGAAGGAATGGCTACTACATGTTTTTACCAAAATTTGCAGAGAAAAAATTTTTTTTTTCGGCATAAATTGGCACTAGACAAGCTCTAAATTATGCCGTAAGGTAGAAGTATATGCGCTTTTTGGTTCCAGAGATATTGATAGTGTAATGCTTACTTCAGCTGAAGAGATGGCTACCACATGTTTTTACCAAAATTTACAGAGCACTAATAACGATTATAATATCAAACAAATGAAAACGCCTTTGTACCATCCACAAGCCANAACACTTTTTGTACCGTCTTCTGGCAGAGCAAAAGTTCTCGATGAAAAACAAACCAACATTCTCACCAGGGTGTTTGGAAAACTTATATACGTATCTCACAACACTATTACTGGCCAAACATGTATGAGTCCGTTTACTATTAAACCGAGTAATGAATATAGAGAACCAAAGCTGCTCATGTCTAAAAATCGTAACCAATGGATGTTCGTAGCCATCAACTGTTACTCGCGATATGTCTGGGCGCAGCCCGTGAAATCCATACGCCATATCCGTAGTCAATTCTCTTCGACATATATTCACTGTGAATGGCTGTTCCGAACTCATTATACCAGAAAATGGTACTCAATTCATCAGTCAAACTTTCGCAAAGCTTTACGCCGATTATAATATCAAACAAATGAAAACGCCTTTGTACCATCCACAAGCCAATCAGGTAGAGGTGACAAAGAAAAGCACTAAACTTGGATTACGTGCTCACATGGCTGATCTTCTTGAACATTCCTCTTGGGAAAATCATCTGTCTCGTGTATTTCCTGATATCAATACTTCAGTGTATTCAGCCTTAGGATACACCCCATATTTTTTACACACCGGTCGTGAATATGTGAAAGATGGAAACGAATATAAATAGTTATTGGATGTAAATACATGCCATACCCAGGATGTGGAACAACGTAAAGTTTTGGCTTATAAAATTCGATACAAACAGTACGAACAATATCAACAAACCGCACAACGGCCATCGACCCGCAAAAGAGAACGCGATTTTGAGATTGGCTCGGAAGTGTACATTCCTAAACAGTCTGTGGCCGGAGAGGGTTATGCACAAAAATTTGCCCCACCAAAAATTAGAGCCTATGTCTCCCGGAAACTTGGTTCGAATTCATATGAACTGATCGGTGCTAAACACCGAGTACTTGGCAATTATTCCTTCGACTTAATCACAATACGTTAACTCGATCAGTTACACTCGCCTTATCAAGACGTTCGATGAATATGTGGCGATCCTCCATAATTCATTGATTATGCATTTATTACAAGGTACACAGCTTATTAAGTAGACAAAATCAAATTAGATATTCCATTATTTTCGAAACACATCCTTAGCGCAATCGATCTGTAAGTCCGGTAAATCTCGTATCGATAACTTTGTCCTTGCTCTAGTCAACCAGAAAGGGGTATCAGCAGGAAAATACGCAAAACCGACGCCACTTTTATACTGTGGATTTTTGCGGTCATCCTAACGTTTACGCGCTTCAAATATTCACAAGTGAACAAGGTAATCGGTACACAGTAACAGGGTTGTTTATGCATAGTGGTGAACAATAAAAATCCACACCCGTTTTCGATTCACATTGACTCTCAATTGCAATTTCAGAACCCTGGTACTACCGTCGTATGTGAACGTTGGCTAACAAGTGCAGTATCTTATGCGCCTAACCATTAAGTGGGACCACAAAGATGCGCTGCCGATATTCGCGCACGAGGTTGTCGCAAAAGCGCAACATCCCCCACTGGCCTTGCTACCCAAGGGCTCAGATGGTCCATACTTGTCGGCAGGCGAATGGGTTTTTTGTCGGATGCATGAGGTAGAAAAGTCTTCGATCCTCGATGTATATGCACCCCCATTCGAGGCACAAACGACTGGCTGTGAAATTCGCGTTCTGTTTGCCCAGTGGCATGACGATCCTACATACCGTGTCTCAATCGGGTATCTACGTGTCAGTGCTCCTGACCAAATCGGTTTCAGCGACTTCACTGGCCTAAGGTGTACCACGCAACATGCTGAACAACACCGCTTTTATTGTCGGTTTTCGTACACCATACTGCCCATTTCACTACGAGGCAACTTTACGGGTATACAATGGTGTCGACCGGGACATCGCATTCCGATTGGTATGCTACCATAGAACGGGTAGCACGGTACGGTGCGAGGACCGTTTATCCCCAAAGGGGGAAGTCCGTGGGAAAATGAAGACGGTAGTCGTACAAACCAAACCGAAGCAAAGCGGGGGTCTGGTGCAACTCCGAAATCCGAGACCACCGCCCCACCAGTTGCCCCCTCGCCCGGGGAATCCGAGAGACAAACTCAGACCGAACCCAACACACCAGTGGTCGCAGCGGACCCAACCATGTTGATCCTCTTGATCGACCCAAGTGGGCATGCATGCGAGGAATCTGTTGAAATCATACCAACAACAATTACACCACATTGGCCGGAGCATTCGAACTCCAACCACAGGGCCGTCTACGTTGTCCACAACATCAATTCTAACTCAACCACCTCACTCCCAGTGCGATTCATCCGCACCATCTGCCACGGCGTAGTCGTACACTCCATACCTTCACCGAACCCATCCCGATAGCACCAGCTGTAGTGCCGGGGAGCCCGTCTATGGCTCGTAGCGGAGATGTTTTACGCCAAACCGGTCTGTCGTCGGTTTCTAAGGCAGAATTCGTCGGTCGGACTCGGCGATCGGTGCCAACAAGCACATGAGAACGAAAAAAAAGAAAACAAACACCAAAAAAAAAGGTTGAAATATTAAAATGATAATTCTGTAAGAAGTAAAATGAACTAATGAATAAAATAATTAAGTTTAGTTTTGTATATCCAAGGTTGAAGAGCGTCATCTTTCTCGGTACATTGCTAGTAATTCGATAAAAAAAAAAACAAGAAAAGATTCATAACCAAATCATTTATCAATGTTCTTTCGTCTACATTAGCTTATTTAGTGCGGAAAATAGCAAAGACCATAGGCGACCTGAATGAGTCAGGGTGATGAAGATCATATAAACCGATTTCGATGGAGGTCTAACGTCAATCAAACCACAGCCCGTGAATCGCATTCGAACCACCATTCTCATATCCCTACTAAACGCGCCATATTATTTTTGTTAACGTGTCGCTGAAGTTGGGAGGGGAATAATTATCCCTGTTAAACCATTTTATTTGACTAAATAGGTGTGTTAAAAAGTTATTATTTGCGTTTGCATATCATAATCAAATTTGTCGGCCGCTGAGGTGTAGTGGTAAGCACTGCGTGTTTCCACTCCGCTGCCACAACAGTTTTTTTGGGACAGTTTTACCAGTTTTCAGTTCGGGGTGGTCTTCACAAAACTGCAGCTGCTCTTGTGTGGTGCGTTCATGTTTTCCAGGCGTGGAATACACGAATTCATAATAAAATTAAATTAATTTTCCTATTATAATATAACTCAATTTTCCGGCGTTTCGTAATCCATTGCTGCGGTGTATTTTATTTCAAAGAAATCCCCGTCTGTTGCAGTGGCGGTCAAAAAGCTGTTTCACTTTAAAGAAACTTTCACCGCAATTGGCAAATAAAACGAGCTTTCGCTTGTCATAATTGACTGTGCATACCTATGACAACAGCTGATGACACGATAATGACAATTGAACTGACAATTGACGACTGTGACAATATGCGAATAGGGCTGTTAATGGCCAGTATGCAGCTCTCAAGAGAACCGTCAAGAGAAAAATTGTCATTATTTCGTGTGTGTGTAAAATTTTTGACTCACTCTTTCACAAGAAATAATGAAACGGGCATATTTTTCTGTTGCAATCATGGGTTGCCTTGTGCTCTTTTTTTACAAAAAAAACTTTAGAAAACCGTAGTAGAAAGCGTAGCAAATTTCTTAAGAACTGCGTACTGCCTTAAAGAAATTTTACTCAAGAACTTTTCTTAGCCATTTCTTGTACGCCATTTTATATGGAGCTTTCGCTTTTCTTGAGAGCTGCCTACTAGCCTTAAAGTATGCATGACAGTAAGAATGAAAATTCCAAAGATTGATTAAGCGTATTATTGTATTCATTATAAAATCAACTGAATTTAAAATTAAAAGATGAAAATAAAATTATAGTTTAAAAAACTTAAAACTCGATTTTATTACAATGTGAACTAAAAAGTAAAAAAATAATTTGTAATAAAAGCGAGTTTTTAGTTTTTTAAACTGTCTTATTTAAACTGCACTGAGCACGAAAGTACAGACATTTCTCTGAAAAGGTTTCTTCTAAGTATTGCTTTGGCCTTTTCTTCGACTTCAGGTTAGTAAGTAATCAAGTAAAATTTATAATAAAGTTCCTTATACCTGTGTGTTTTTACAACCACATAGCATTTACACTTTTTTTTTGTTGTACATGTCTTGTTACCATCAGTGTATTTCTTTGCCATATTGGGTGCCCCTAATATCTGGCCGATCTAATCCCGGGTCTACAGGGCCTTAGGGCAAACCCGCTACTGATTTAACATTCGGAGGCGTGTATAACTGTAGCTACCTCCATTAGTGTAACAACATCAACACGCACGCCACAAAATGGAAGAGAAGCGCGGCCGAACACTTAGGAAAAGTGAACGCAGAGCAGAAAGAAAAAGATCTATTACAGTAAAAGCCTTAGCTCCATTTGACACTATTTTTAAAACTAGTTGCATAACGTAATGACGACCATTCAAATCATGATCAACAACCTGCTTATATGCATTATATAAAAACTTATCAGAAACATTGTACTACATGTACCTACTTGTATAATTAGGGCTGCCATTTTCGGGAGCACAGTGTTCTTGCCGAAACTGAACGAGAACGTCAAATATTGCAAATAATCCAAGTTGTGTCTGAAGATTGGCTACTTTGCGATCCTCCAGTTGAGAATATCCCAATGGAGAATAACAAGCCGTTTTGGACCAATTTACCCCTTTCTCCACAACAAAGCAGGCAAGGACTACTGCCTAGTCTGAATGCAGACGGTAAAACCCCATAAGCAGTTTGAAATAAATGCAAACATATTTATTAGTATTTCTTTTACAGAAGCAGCTAAAAATTATCGACGGTCCATCCAAGATAAAGCGGCCCTTATTGACGAATCCTGCAGTGAAGGTAGTGGTACCGATTCACCGGACAATAAAGAAGTTAATTCAAAAATTAACAGAATTTATTGTGGATCCGATTTTAGTAGCGATGGTTGCGAATCGGAGCAAACCGACTTAGATATTCTGCGTGTAAAAAAATTAAAAAAAAGGTAAGCCTTAATACAGACTTACATACATATAATATTTTTGTTATCACAAATTTGTCTAGATATAACCCCAACTATGGTCGATATTGGTGCGGAGAAGTTTCTGCACGAAGTAATCAAGACCACCAACGAGAATATGAAGAAAAAGCCATGAAACATGTTGTTCTAAAAATTAATAAAAATATTGGAGTGGAGCAAAGTTTGCTTCCAAATAACCCTACCGGAGGTTGCTACTTACGACTGGAGGCAGAATGGAAGGACCAGTTAAGGCATAGAAGTATTTCTAACTCCACAAATGGTTTCTCAATTTCTGGGGTCGGGAAATCAAAGTATAAATAACACTGTAAAATGACCTTTTTCATTTAAGAAATGTTTTTAATATCTTACGTTAAACCATTTACAGCTGATCTTTACCAGGACTGTGTATTTAACAATAGAGTTTTTATAACAATTATCAATTAACCGTAAACTTATTACCATAATTTGCACTTCTTATATTCATTTATGCTTCTACCAAAACTAAATACTATACTGTCATTTGTGAATGGGAAATAATATCAAAATCTGAGTTTTTTGCCTCAATATCCATAAAATTTTACTGACGGAAGCAAATACGTTAAGGTAGATAGAATTCCTACTTTTCGGACTTCTATTAATTTCGATATGGTCTTAATCATGATACGAAAAAGAAGGTAGTTTCATTTAATGACATTCGTTGTTGTTGCTAACCATTTGACTTTTAATAAAATTATGACATTTCATCAAATTCATGCAACCTGATTACTAGAAGAAATATCTTTTTTTAAGTAGAAAATTTTATCAGCACTTTTAAAGATGTGGAATATGATGAACTAGAAAATTATGCCGGCTAAATGATTTCGAAAATGGGGTTGGCGACTAGGTTTCAGAACGCATGAAGTAAGTGTAACTGCAAAACCGCGTAACTGACATTTTTTGCCAAAAATTGGATTTACTCACACGAGCTCTTGGCTCAAGCCTTATCCATTCGTCCTGAAATGCGATTTCTTTGTAAAAAAGAGAACCATTTTGAAATGTGAGTGTTTTTACTCTCTTCAAAATAATTTATGCAGGCTCACATACGCCGTTGTGCATTTTGTTGATACACGGTTTTGTACTTTCAACGACGATCTGTTAGTTATTTATCGGAGGGCGGTCTGTTCAAGCTGACTTCAGGAGTTTTGCATAAATTAAAAAATTGTGAAATTTAGTGATGCTAAAAGCCTAATTTTTTGCAAAATCTGATGAGAAATTTAAAAGCAAATTTGAACCTAAATATAAAAAGGTTTTATTTGGGAACAACATTCTTTAGAACTCGATTTTTAAATCGCAAGATTGCATTAAAAAAAACTGAAAAATGCGCGCGTGGTTTTTATTACAAAATGAAAAGAACAATTACGATAAAGTCTCCTTTAACAGTACCAAGCAGGGACGTGAACCGGATGAAAAGTTTGGTCGGTTCGGTTCAGCGGTTAGAACCGTTTTTGCACTTTTGGATTGGTTCGTCAAAGCGGTTTTTTGGTCTTTGAACCGGGGTTTCGGTTCGGTTCAACGGTTCGAAAAACAAAAGAATTACGCTCAAGTTTAAGTGTCAAGTGTCAAGTAGAACAACGCGCTAGGTTAAGGGTCAAGTGTCTGTCAAATGAGATGGGTTGCCTTTACATTTGATATTGTCGCATGGTAAACAAACATGGTGGGTATTATCATGTTTACCAAAAAGAAAAAAGTATGTACATTTGTCTATTGAAAATTGGTTGAAACGAACCTTTCAATCTTTATAAAAAGTTAAAATTAATAGAAAATACCGGTTTGCCGGTTCAAAACCGGTTCCCGTCCCTGAACCCAGTACTGATAATGGTTTTTGGTTTGAAATGTTATTAAATTGGTATAAATATGGGAAAGAAAATACTCCGATTTATTGTTTNATGTACATTTGTCTATTGAAAATTGGTTGAAACGAACCTTTCAATCTTTATAAAAAGTTAAAATTAATAGAAAATACCGGTTTGCCGGTTCAAAACCGGTTCCCGTCCCTGAACCCAGTACTGATAATGGTTTTTGGTTTGAAATGTTATTAAATTGGTATAAATATGGGAAAGAAAATACTCCGATTTATTGTTTTAATATTACCAAAGTGGCAAGGCCGTTGATAATACTCACAATTTATGAAACTTCAAAAAATTTTATTATCCGTCAAAAGTTGTTTATTGAAACTACCTTCTTTTTTGTATCATGGTCTTAATTCCAAATGGAAATGGAAGTAAAGCCATTATGGTTTTATTGCGTTTTTGAAAATTTCAGTTTAGAAATAATAAAACAATACAATGCAACGTAAATAAACTTACAAATTAAAATGATATATAATGATAGATAATGATAAAATAAAATATATTAAATGAGGTACAACAAATCTGTTATCAAAAGTAACCCAGATTTGAATAAAAAGTAAAACGTTAGTAATATACCCATATAACTAAGATGAAAAACAAATGTGTTAGAAAAAATTAATATAACAAACGAACTGATTTTATTAATTTTTAACATAATTATGATTATACTAGCAGACCCGGCGAACTTCGTCCCGCCCAAAATTTTTATATATTTTATTGAAACTTTTTGGTCCAACATTTTCACCAACAATTCACGTTTACGATTTTCATTGGCACATTTGTCTGCTAAGATTACGGTTTGGTGGTCATTTGCC